CGCCGGCGCAGAGGAGGGCGGCGTCACACGAGCAGCACCAGCATCAGCATCAGCACCAGCAGCCGCCTGTGCCGCCCATGCCGACCAAGTCACCCGTCGTGCGGCCTTCGAGGTGGAGGGACGACGATGAGGACGTGCCGCTGATCAACTTTGTCGAGCGAGCCGAGGGGGCGGGACCCGATGGCCAGGGGTGTGGAGATGAGGTCCCGGAGCGGGCCGTTACAGGGTTGATAGAGGGGGGAGGGAAGGATCTGTACCGATGTGCTTTGGTTGCTTTGGTTGGGTCTGTAATGAGCTGGCATTTTCATCCATGATGGGATGAGAGGCAGAGATAGGGGTTCATGGCTCCCCCTTTTCTCAGGAGGGGAGGATTCCATGTACCTGGGACACGCGCACGCATATGCAACGATCTGGGCCGTAATTTTCTTTTTTCTTCTACCCCAACCCATCTAGTAAGGCCGACTAGATGGCAGGAAAAGGCATGTCATCATTAGGGCGGTGGGGAAACACCAACGGCGCAACACAATACACAGCACGTCAAAGATGCAGTTTCTATGTGCCCGTGTAGTTTGTCCATTTGACTTTTCACGTGGGCCGTCGTCAACACGCTCTATGTCATTACTATCAATCGTATCCGCGGTGTAGGTATCTTCTTCTTCCTTTTGGCAACAAATCATCATCTCCCGGCCTGCACCTCTCCCGCCAGGCCAGGCCTCGGGGGCACACACGCTCTACTTGGTGCGCTTGTAAATCTTGGCGAGGAAGGCGTCAAAGACGGTCTTCTTGAGGCCCTCGCTCTCGTCAATGTTGTTGATCATGTCGCGGATCTCGCCGGCGCGCTTCTCCTCAAAGGCCTCGTAGCGCTCCTTGAGCTTGAGGTCGTCGTAGAGCTTCTTGACGACGGCCTCCTTGGCCTTGTCCTTCTGGCCGTAGTTGTCCTCGAGGATCTGGCGCTGCTCGGGGGTGGCGATCTGCAGGGCCTGGTTGACGAGCCAGCCGCACTTGTTGTCCATAATGTCGGTGCCAATCTTGCCAATGTGCTCGGGCAGGCCAAAGTTGTCGAGGTAGTCGTCCTGGACCTGGAAGTACTCGCCGAGGGGGATGAGGATGGCCTCGGCCTGCTTGAGGTTGTTGGGCGTGGCAATGTTGAGGCAGTGCAGGGCGAGGGCGACGGGCAGGTAGAACGAGTAGTAGGCCGTCTTGTAGATGACGATGAAGCTGTACTTGTCCATGGAGAAGTTGTCGAGGTTGACCTTGTCCTCGGGGGCCGTGAGCAGGTCGCAGAGCTGGCCCATCTCCGTCTCAAAGGTGACGTCGTGGAAGAGCTCGATGAGGTCGACGTAGGACGGGTGCGAGCGGAAGAACTTCTTGAGCAGGGTGTAGATGGCGGCCTCGAGCATGAAGGCGTCGTTGATGGCGACCATGCCGACGCCCTCGTGGCGGTACCAGCAGGGCTTGCCGCGGCGCGTGATGGACGAGTCCATAATGTCGTCGGAGACGAGGAAGAAGGCCTGCAGGAGCTCGGTCATCCAGCCGAGGGTGGCGGCCTCAAAGTACTGCTCCTCGGTCAAGGGCTTCTCGAGGAGGAGAGAGACCGAGTCGGGGACGGACATGCCGCGGTTGCACTTGCCGCCCAGAGTGTTGATCTCAAGACTCTGCAGCACGCCGCGTTAGCCAAGTCGCGCAGCTTGAGCAGAGCAGTTCGCTGGAGACATACCTTTTTGTACCACGCGAGCTCCTCCGCGGGGAGCTTGTACTTCTGGCATGCTCGACAAGGACGGCCTCGAGCTTGGGGAAGACGCCCTCGAACTCCTTGAGAGTGGTTTTTTGCCCCATGGTGAAAGCTGAAAGATGTGATGGGTGCTGGTTTCGGGGGGCGAGTTCTCTCTCGTTTCGGGTTTCGGGGACCAAATTGGGTGGCCACCTGCCCTTGGGAAATTTTCCCGTTTTTTAACCATTCCCATTTTTCGGGTTGTTTTGGGCCTTGGTCCCCCCCCGAAGGGGGGAAAAGGGGGTTAGAAAAAAAGAGGAGGGGTCTGCCCCAGCTGCCCCTCCTTCCCCTTCTGAACGGGCAGGCGGTCAGGGCTAGAGACAGGGGACCCGTCAGGGGGGGAAAGGCTAGGGATCCAGGGCGGGGCAGTTGTGAAGGGGGCCTGGCAGCTCTGGAAGTCAAGCGCTGTCGGACTGGAACGGGGCGGCACCCTGCCGCGTCGCGCGCCTCCCAGAGGCTTTGATCATTGGATAGCTCTCAATGACATCGTGAGCTGTGTTCCAGTAAATCCGACTCCATCGACGAGCACTTACCAGGTCAGGGCAATCAATTGCAACACGCGCTTCTCTGACGACAAGCTATACTGACCATTCACTGCTGGGTCACTGGCTGGGTCACCAATTTGCCTTCGACAAACGCGTCGCATCTTGCAGACCCAATTCACCGTGCTGAACTGGATCTGCCCGCCCCTGGGCCCTCCCTTGTGACCGGCCGGTACCACACGCCCCGGCCAACCGCGACACTGACGGCGCGTGGCTGAGAATGCCCCAGACATGTCCCTGAACGCGCATGACCTCGCACAGCTTCGAGCTGCCCTGCAAGATGCAGTGGTGAAGTGCTCGGAGCGCTGCCTCTACCAGTCAGCAAAGTGGTGAGCCTCGTCCCTGCCGCCGAACAGACAGTCTCGCGAGTCGACTCTAACGCGTCGCTCCTAGGGCCGCCGAGCTTCTCGATGCCATACCAGACCCCTCGCACGAGGCACAGCCAGACGAATCCCCTCCTCCTTCGGTACCCGTTGTTCTGACCGCCAATCCGGACCCCGACGAGGCCCTTCTTGAAGCGAAGGAAGTCAACAAATACCTGCTCGCCAAGTCCTTCTTCGACTGCCGCGAGTTTGACCGATGCGCCGCCGTCTTTCTCCCAGACTCCATGCTGCCGGGCATAATAGACCCGAAGCGTGAGAGTGTCGGCGGCACACCTAGCGGCAAGGGCAAATCGAGAGCCTCGCATGATGATGCGCCGGCCACTGTCGACGGTGGTGCGTTGCCCAATCTGAGCCAGAAGAGCCTGTTCCTGGCGCTGTACGCCAAGGTCATGTCGGGCGAGAAGCGCAGAAACGAGGACTCGGAGATGGTTATGGGCCCCCAGGACCTCGGCACCGTCGTCAACAAGCAACTCCTACCTGTGGGCCGCTTCCTCAGCCGCTGGTTCGAGCAGCGGACCACGGAGGATGGCGATGTTCTCGGCTCCCAGGGCTGGCTCGAGTACCTGTGAGTTTGCCGTGCTGATCCTGCTGCCCTGGCGCATGTTGTGACTGACAGTGGTCGCCTAGATATGGCATGGT